TCCCTCTGACCCTCCCCCCTCTCATGTGCTCTCTCTCATTCTCTCTCTCTCAAATAAATAAATAAAATCTTTAAAAAAAAAAAAAAGAAAATGGACTTGGACTAGTTGTAAGTGTATACTAGGGCAACCACTAAACACAATTTTTTAAATATGTATAATTGATATCCTAAGAGAGAAGAGAAAATGGAAGCATGTAAAATGCTCAACTAAAACCAAAGAAGGCAGGAAAAGAGTGGAACACCAAAAAAGAAACAAGGAACTAGGGCAACAAATAGAAAACAGTCATAAATACGGTAGAAATTAATCCAGCTATATCAATAATCCCTTTAAATGTGAATGGTCTTAATACAAACCTGTTTGTTAAACTATGAAGTCATTCAAGGCTCACCATTATATACATGGGAGATTTTAAAATATCTTAAGTAACATTTGGATATCTCAAAGACTTTGTGCCTGCCTAATAAATCATCAAGAGAGGATAACAGAAACAGGGTCTGTAGATATTTAAACTTAAATCTTCTCTTTGTGTCATCAAGTTGACTTCCACAGTGCTCCCGAGTATAATTAACTCTTTCTTACCTTGCTGGGAAGGGCAATAACCAGCAGAGTGCTCTGATTTTTCAAAGGATATTGTCAAAAAAACTCTTTCCTCTCAAATATCATCCAATGCCACTGTAACCTTTAATTTCTATTAATTTTAACCAAGTCTGAATTAAAATTTAGGTTGATAATGTTTAAGACCCAACAGACCAATGGGAATTAGATGCACAAGAGTTGTTTCACTGGGCTGAAATAAACTCTGACTTCCAAGTTCAATAATCACCAAATCCTCTGCAGCCCCAGCTCCCAGACTCCCATCGAATTATCCTATTTTCCTATCTGAGCAACAATTTGCCCTTAACTGCTTTCTCCACATTTCTGCTGTATGACTGTAACTCTGATCACATTTCCCTGGTACCATAATCCCAACAGTATGCATGTATTATTAGAAAGTTTATATATAATGCACATGTTATAAACAATTCCTAAGCAGTGTATAAGAACATAAGAGTACATTAGAAAGGCTGCATTTATTGTAACACATATAATGCTGGTGTTTAGTTTTAAATTAGAGAATAGAAAATCTACAGTATAGAATTATAAGACCCAAAGGTAAAACCTAAGCCTCCCTCCCACCCCAGTCTACCAGCTATCTGGTACCCTCTCAGAAGGCAACCACATTAGCAGTTACTTGTTTATCTTTTCAGGAATATGCTATGTATGTTGCAAGCAAATATGTATTTTATATGTATATACATATATAGGTACATACATACATCTTTTCATACATTCACCTATAAATAGTGGTATACTATACATATTCTTCTTCACATTCTCATTTATCTCATAGGGTTTTTATTGATATATAAGATCCTGACAACCTGGGCCATATAATGGTAGCATAACCAATTTCTAGCTAACCTTAGTGAACCATAAAGAGGCATCAAAAAGTGTCACGGTATATAGGAAATTCTAAAATCTTTATTTTTATCCACGACTGTCAGTTGAGGTCCTATTATGTACTAAATACTGTATGAGGCACTTTATACTTTCATTTAATAAAATAGCCTTGAGGTGAGGTTTATTAAGTTTGTTACAATTTTATAGATAAGGAAATTAAAGCTCAGAGAGCTTAACTAGCCTAAAGTCCCAACTAGAAAGTGACAGAGTTGCCTGACTCCAAAGCCCATGTACTCTGTACCACACTAAATGCAGCTCTGATCTTTACAGGTCATTTTTTGAAATACAGTACTATTCTATATTTTGTATTGTGTCTAATTTGAAGATCCATCATAGAGTTGTCCTCAACTACAGAAACAGACATTGCTTTCTCATTTTCTTTCTCATCCCTCTCCACTACTTAAATTACATGTTGCTACCATTTTGGTGTTGCCTTCTAGAATCCTATTCCTACAGCAGCAAAACCAGAAAACTGCAGGTAGGGATTTGTATATTTGGCATAATGCAGAACAAATTACATGACAAAGGCTGACAAAACTTTAAGACTTCAGGTTTTGGAAACAAGATACTACATGCTTTAAACTGGAGGTCTTTTAGGGTTAAACCCAAACATAGCTATATTCACACCTGGAAGCACTTGGACAACTCAAGGCTGAAAATCCCATACTGTGCTTGTTGTCAATCCATTGTTTTCCTTCCTGGTAGGCTCTGGAAGTGAATATTCTACCACTTTGTGCAGTTGATGTTGAATGCTATGTCCACTGAACTGGGGTCGTCCAGGGTCACCAATCAGGACTCGAGTTCTATGGGTCCAAAAGCAATTCTTCAGCCATTGATGAAGACTGTCTGCAAGGTCTTCATCATAAAACATATCTCCAAGCACAACAAGGTCCCACTTATCTTGTTCCAAATCCAAAATATTTTTGGTTAAAATGGGAAAAGGATCCAGTTGGTTCAACTCACAATTCAGTGTGATAGCCATTCCTGCAACTTTAAGAAGCACATAATGAATTGGTTTATGTTAGGCAGTTTTAATCCCCTATTGATTCATTTAAGTAATTTAGAAAATCTAACAATATTTTTTCCCTTTTGTTGAAAGTTGTTTTTTAGGTAAAGAAGTATCTACCAATATAAACTATTTACTGCAATTTTCAAATGCATGAATGGATATCCTGAAAAAAAACCAAACAATACAAAACACCTAGAAATGTGGAGGTTTTAAGGAACATTTGCTGATCTAATAACCAAGAGGTGTGGTTTATTATAGCTATCCAGGGAAACAAGCCTTGGGCTTGAGCAACCTGGCAAGTTAGAACTGAGACCCCTGTATAAAATAAGGATCTTGGGGCAGCTGGGTGGCTCAGTCCGTTAGGCTTCTGACTCCTGATTTTGGCTCAGGAGTCAGAACTCCTGATCTGAGTTGTGAAATCAAGCCCTGCATCGGGCTCACATGCTGGGCATGGAGCCTGCTTAAGAATCTCTCTCTCCCTCTTCCTCTACCCCTCTCCACCCTCCCCCAAAAAAATAAAATAAAATAAGGATAAAAGCTAGATCCTCAGTAAAATTGAAAACTAAAAGAAAATCAGAAAAAATTAAAACTGACCTGTCCCAACTTAGGTTTTAATGGAATAAACTCTCCCTCAAAACACAAGGCCTCTCTCCTCACTTGGGTTTTGGTCAAATACACACAACCTACATATTTCAGGAAATCCCTCGCCCAGAAATTAACAGTAAGTGCTCCCAGCTTGGTACACTTTGGGATATCCGACAGACATAAATACAAATCCTCTTGAGAAATACGCACTTCAATTCAGGCCTCACAGGCTCCTCACAGATAATGTCCTACTGAACAGAAGTTCACAATATCAGATTATAAAATATACATGGAAATAAGCTATCATGTTGAGGCATCTATAGATATTTATCCTGGAAGAAAATAAAGATGAGCTTTAAGTATTTTTAAATATGAAATCCTTACTAGGGTCTATGTCGTTGGCCAAGATCCTCGATGCCCCGCTCATCTTGGCAGCTATAGCCGTAGCTCCACATCCACTCCCAAGATCTAACACAGACTTTCCTCTAACAACATCAGGATTATCCAAAAGATACCTAATTTGGAAAGAAAGCAAAAAAACACTGAGACGAGAGGTCAGTAAGAGGTATTTAAAAAAAAGGTTTTTTTTTTTAAGCTCTATACCCAACATAGGGGTTGAACGACCTCTAATGACTGAGCCAACCAGGCACCACCCCCCCCCCCAAAAAAAGTCTTTTTAAAATACTGAGCACTTACTGTGATCCAGAAACGGTCACACACCAGGAATACTGACTGACAAAATACGGCTATAATAAGGATTCAGTAAACTAGATCCAAAATTCACTGTCTCCTTCTGATTGATTGTGCATCATAGAGTGGTTTTACCTACTGCTTATGTTGTTATAATGACCTCTCTGGTAAAGTACAAAGTCCAGTTCAACCAAACAATTTGGACCAGGACTAAATAGTTATCAAACACTGAAGATGGATGAGAAACCCTGAAATAAATAATAAACCCTGACACTTGACCTTACCACTGGAAAGTGAAGAATATCCGGGATTATGGTAAACTAGGGATGTACATGGCCTGTCTAAAGCGAAAGCGCTACCCATCTTCAGCTCACTGTTGCCATGCAGAAATCCTGTGTTATCAGATTTTCCTGTTTTTCAAAATCAGACATTTTTACATGAAATTTCCCAAGTTTTATTTTTATTTTTTATTTTTTTGAAATGTCCCAAGTTTTAAATGTTAGCAACTGATTTTTTGTTTTAAATTTACAAATAAAGACCGAACAAAACACATCTGTGGGTGCACCAACTTGTGACCTCTGATTCAGTCTGTTAAGGAATTTGATTGTATTTATATTTGAAGTTGATAAACAATCACTTTAATAGACGTCACTGAAAATGTCAATATTTTTAAGGTATGATGTAAGTGAATAAAGCTTGAAAATTTGGCAACAACCACCAGAAAATCAGAATTGTTTGATAACACCTAGAAAGCTTTCCAATCTTCAGGATTCTCTGAAAAGCTCTACATATGCATTTATTTCTTTTGCATTTAAAACTATATACAACATTAATTCTGTTAGGCCATCCCGTTCCTGCCAATGAGAAGTCCTTATCCTTTTCATTTCAGAGGTCTATACCCTTAAGGTATAAGCAGGTTTAATCATTTACCAATCTAAGAGCAAAAACCAGACTGAAATGCTGAAAGCTCTTGCCTTTGTCTCAGCAGCTGTGTTTTAATAAAAAGCATAGTGTGAATATGTGAGAGAATGTCCTAAAGAACACTTTTGCTGTGTGGGGGCGGGGGGGGTGGGGGGATGGAAGAGGAGACCTTAAAAATGCACATTCAGGACACCTGGCTGGCTCAGTCAGTACAGCATGCAACTTGATCTCAGGGTTGTGAGTTCAAGCCCCACGATGGGCATAGAGCTTACTTAAAAAAAAAAAAAAAAGAAAAATGCAGATTCAAGTCCAGAGTTCACCTGAGATGTCAGTAAGCCACTAGAGAAGGAATCCTTGTGGATCCCACTCACTCACATCTCTTGTTCTTTGAGAGACTGAGAGAAGTGAGGCTCCAGGGAGGGAGGGAGTGCGAGGCTCGAGGAGCAACATTTACTAGATCAAACTAGGAGAGCTAAAGGACCAGGGCTTTAGGTTCCATCTAGAAACTCTGCACTGGCCATACCTTATGAACCATGAACCAGAAAATAGTGTGAAATTTCCAGATCATTCATAGTATGACAGCTGATCCTAGGGTTTCTCTTGGAGAGAGAACTGTATTTGGGGAAATACACTGATAAACTGCTCCAAATTAAGAAAACAAGAATTTGGGGGTTTAACTCTGGTTTTTTGTGAGGAGCAGGGAGAATGCAGAGTTGGAAGGGGCTGAAAAAAGAATCTGCTGAAAAAAAGAATCTGCAGAAAACAGATCTGTATGGGCCTTAAAGCTTCCCATTTCAGTTAGGGCAATACCTAGACAGGGCCTGGCCTCCTGGCCAGTAGATTGCCCAGTAAGGTTCGCTATAGGGCCACAGGTCAGCTTTTTGCCACCAGAACTTGCATCTGGGCGTCAAAAGCCGCAACTGGATTTCAGGGGTGAGGCTGCCACTGCTGCTGACTTCAGTGTTCTCCTCCAGGAAAGCTTTCATCTCAGGGTCCAAAAAGCTTCCAGTTCCTCTCCAGGGGTAATGGCCCCAGGGAAACAAGGAAAGACCATTGCTTCTCACAGCTTTCAGAAAGACGCCACAGTGGTTCATGGGAAATGGTGCACATGCTCTCCAACCTAGGCTTGAAGCCATCGGTCCTTGTCCAAAACACAGGTTCTGTCAGTGTTGCTGTTGATAAGAGCTGCTGCTCCTCATGAGGAAGGAAGGGTACGGCTGCCACGGTGATCTCAACTGAAATCTGTGGGTCTCTAAAAACAGAAATAATACTGAAAATTCCAAGGTTCACTCACACTTCCATATCCCATTACATAGGAAGAAAATATTACAGTGTAAGCTCTGTAGCAGATGATTCACAAGTGCAAGTCCATTTCAGATGGAAGTGTTGGTGCATCAACTTAGGAAAATCCAACCTTTTAAAGGAAGTCTTTTCACAACAAAAGCCTTTTAATAATTTAGAACAACAAATATACAAGCATTTGATTTTGAGAGAAAACCTCGGGAACATGCCTGTTACATAAAATAAGGTTTACCTTTAAAGTTCTTTCACACACACACACAAAATAAAGTTCTTTAACACATTTAGTAAACCACTTACCTTTAAGCAGGCACTGTGAACAAAATAAGTCTCCATCTTTGGGAAGCTTAGACTCTAGCAGTGGGGTAGAGCTATTGCCAGGGCAAACACAGTTCTGGCCTTTATGAAGTCTTGCCAAGAGTTGTGGAGGTTACCAAACTGTAATTGTGCACAAAGATATACAAATTATACAGAGTACACATCGATGGAATCAAGATTCAGATTTTTTCTTAAAACTTTATGGATTTAATTGTCATAAAAAATATCAACTCGCAAGTATCTTCCTATAAATATCTCTGATGACTCATCTTTGCCAAGCCTGGGAGGAAAAGACTTGTTCCAATAGAAAAACACCTTGATAAGAACGAGAAAGAATAAGAAACAGGGGCGCCTGGGTGGCTCAGTCGTTGAGCGTCTGCCTTCGGCTCGGGTCGTGAT